CAAGGTAACTAACTGCCTATGGCCTGCCTCTCTTTATAAGGTGAGCCAGCCAGTGAACTGCCAGAAGTTCAAGCCAGATTCAGAAGAGGATGTGGAACAAGGGATATAATTGCTGATGTCAGATGGATGTTGGCTGAAAGCAGAGAATTGCCAGAAAGATGTTTACCCATGTTTTATTGACTATGCAAAGGCGTTCGACTGTGTGAATCATAATGAATTATGGATAACATTACAAAGAATGGGAATTCCAGAACACTTAATTGTGCTCACGAGGAACCTGTACATAGACCAGGAGGCAGTCGTTCAAACAGAACAAGGGGATACCGCATGGTTTAAAGTCAGGAGAGGTGTGCGTCAGGGTTGTATCTTTCACCATACTTATTCAATCTGTGTGTTGAGCAAATAATCAGGGAAGGTGGAGAAGAGGAACAGGGCATCAGGATTGGAGGAAGACTCATTAACAACCTGCCATATGCAGATGACACAACCTTGCTTGCTGAAAGTGAAGAGGACTTGAAGCACTTATTGATGAAGATCAAAGACTACAACCTTCAGTATGGATTACACCTCAACTTAGAGAAAACAAAAATCCTCACAACTGGACCAATAAGCAACATCATGATAAACGGAGGAAAGATTGAAATTGTAAAGGATTTCATTTTACTTGGATCTACAATCAACACCCATGGAAGCAGCAGTTCAAGACATCAAAGGACGCATTGTATTGGGCAAGTCTGCTGCGAAAGACTTCTTTCAAGTGTTAAAAAGAAAAGATGTCACCTTAAGGACTAACCCAAGCCATGGTATTTTCAATCGCCTCATATGCATGTGACAGCTGGACAATGAATAAGGAAGACCGAAGAAGAATTGATGTCTTTGAACTGTGGTGCTGGCGAAGAATACTGAATATACCACGGACTGCCAAAAAGACAAACAAATCTGTCTTGGAAGTACAGCCAGAATGCACCTTAGAAGCAAAGATGGCAAGACTTCGTCTCACATACTTTGGACATGTTATCCGGAGGGTCCAATTCCTGGAGAAGGACGTCATACTTGGTAAAGTGGAGGGTCAGTGAAAAAGAGGGAGACTTTCAATGAGATGGATTGACACAGTGGCTGCAACAATGAGCTCAAGCATAACAATGATTGTGAGGATGGTGCAGGACTGGGCAGTGTTTCATTCTGCTGTACATAGGGTCGCTATGAGTCAGAACCAACTTGATGGCACCTAACAGCAAAAACAACAGGCAGTGCCAGAATGCCCCTCCAGAGGGTCCTGCTTCTTTCAGCATCAAATGACCATGGCTCACCTGGCTGGACCAAGGATTATGCCAGAGCTGAAGGCAGCCACGGGTAAACTGGAGGGAGGGAGGTGGCTGCAAAGACTGTCCAATGTGGGTGCTTTGTGTTAGATGGTGACCAAACAGTCACCAGCCAGAGCCCTCTCTGAGGCATGTGTGTCATGTGAGTGTGTGAGTGAGTGGCATGCCCAGAGGACGTAGGTGATGGAGCTCAGATTACACCCAAGGGCTCATTCCCATTAAAAACCCTGCAAGTGGAGCCCTTTGGAGTTGTGCGCTGCAGCAACTCTTCTGCCTACGATACTTGGGCACTGTGGGAGGGTGGTGCTGGCCAGAGTACTGGGTTCCACATCTAGGCTGCCTTCCTGCTTCTCACATTAGACCCCCACTAACAAGGGCTCTTTGGGTGTAGTTACATACTCACTTTTCAGAAAAGTATTCTTTCCCCAGATATGCTACCTGAGTGATGTGGATGTATTGATCATCTAGAAGCCGGGAAAGGGTCAAGATTTCTCCCAGTAGAGAGTATCAGAAAGGCTGAGTGTCCAAGATAATACGGCAGAGGGAACAGCTGTATCAAAACCCAAGACCCCTGCCTGGCCTTGCACTGGAGAGTCCTGTGATCCAGAAGCAGCACATCGATGGTGATGCCCTGCCAAGTGCTCGGGCCCAGCAACAGGGCCAGAGTCTTGGAGTCTTGTGTCTGTGGTGTCTGGAAGGCCCTGAAAGCCACCTGCCCTTCCCCAGGCCAGGAGAGCTGCTGCTTAGACAAGAGACAAGAACTAGCCAAGGCGCCGCCTCTGTCGGCTTTTGATGAATTTTCCTGCTACCGCAGCTAATTTACTGAAAGGCTCTTCTTTCACCTTCAGGCTTCTCTATAAAAGTGTTCTTGCTCTTTACTGTCCAAACATCTGACACCCATCGTTTAGATAATTTTACCATAATATCAGCTCAAAAATGCAAGTCAGGCCTGTTAATCTTAACACATTATGGCACTACATGACAATTACAACTGCACCTTCCTTGCTTTCACTGATGAAAATTGGTCTATGATGTGCGCAACGTCATTTTTTTGTTTCTTCTCTTTCTGCAGTCAGCAGAGCAAGATCACACAGTCTGCCTTGACCCATTGAGGCTCTCAAATACAAAAGTATTAGTTTTAACTTGCTGAATGATCTTTCACAGCTGGCGATGGAAACTGTAATGGTTAATAGAAACTGCTCAGTAGTGCCCCCCCCCTTTGAAGTGGCAACCAGGGCACTGCCATACCTGCCATACCTTAAATCTGCCCGTTATTATGCACCCAGGGGCAATCTCAATGTTGTGCCCCTCCCCTCCCATTCGAGCGCCCAGGGGCAATTTCTTAGTTGCCTCCCCCCTCCCCCCTCCAATTTCAAGATGAATAGACGTTGATAGCGGCGACTTTTGTCAGCAGAAACGCCTTCCCGCCCTCTTGTTTGGCTGCCTCTGGCAGGCTCCTTTCATATTTGTGGCGCCTCGAATGTCATTCCGCACCTCGTCTGGCACCCCTCCCCACTTGGGCTTGCGCCGGTGTCAAGTGCACCCCCACCATCACCCCTCCCCCGCCATAGGCGCTATTTTCCGTAGCCACGCCTCTATTAACAGTGGGGGATCCATAATGATCACTCAGTGAGTGACTCTGTTGGTGAGGTGACCGGTGTGGGCTCTGACTCCGTAGAAGGCATGGTTAGCGTAGAACCTCCTCCACTGGCTCCTGGGGCGGGAAGGGCTGGGAGTGGACAGGAGTCCTGGGCCAGGGCTAAAGGGAGCTAGGGTCAGAGTCCTATAGGTAGGCGACTCAAGATTGTGCAGGGTCTTGGAGGTCCCGAAGCAGAAGGGCCATGAGATGACAAAAGGGCTTGGGCAGAGCCCGGAGTTCGGGTCCTCGGCGCCCATCCTGCCTGGAGCGCCTGCCTGAAACCGGGGCCACCCCGCCCCACCTCGGCGGTGCCGCCGAGACGGCGGCTAATGGCGGCGCCGCGGCGCAGGCAGTCTGGGACGTTGGAGTTCTCGCAGGGAGGCCCATCCCGCTCGTCCACCACGAGCTGTGGCTCCTGGCGCCCTCGCGTCCGCCCGGGCCCTGGCCCCGCGCCAGGCGGCTGGATCCATCACTGCAGCTGGCGGGAGGCCGGACGGCGCGTCCCCCGGGGCTCCCAAGCAGCCGGCGCTGTCTGCAGGCAAGGAGGGCTGTGGCGGCGGGCGGCTGCTGCTGAGCAGCGGGGGCCTGGGGTCCGGGGGCAGCGGCGCTTCAGGGGCTGCGGGCAGCCTGGGCTTGGCAGAGCAGCCGCACCTCCCGCACTAATTGGCCCTTCCCCAGCCGCCTAGGCCGGTAATTGCTGCACCGGGGGCGGGGGAATGTTGGGGGAGGAGGGGACGCTGCTTCTGCAGCAGAGCCGCCTGTGCCAGCAGCAGACCGCGGGCATAGGTGTACATGTGTCCTCGCGGCACCCTGGGAGAGTCAACCCCGGGCAAAAGCCACAGAAGTGTTCTGGGGCCTTTACCAAGATTCAGTCAGTTCTGAGAGCCGTTCCCTGCTGGCGGGTTTAGGAAAAGACTGGGAAGCTATTGGGGGACCAGGAAGGCAGGGTGAGACAGGCATAATAGGCCCTGATCCTGTTGGGCACCCCGGGAGGAGCTGACAGGAAAAGGGACATCTTCCTAGGCAGATGGGGCAGGTCCTGGGGCTGTGGGAGGCAGGGGGCCAGCCCCCACCATCCACGGCATTCACTGTCAACCTTCCATATACAGGTTCTTAGAGAAGGTTCTAGGGTTTCCTATGATCCTCACATTGGCCTCAGCCTGGCTGAGCCCTGGATCTTGCTCAGCTGTACTCCTGTTCTGAGGGAGGAGGGCCTCTGGGCAGGCTGCTGTTGGAGAAGCTCCCTCCCCCCAGACTTTTTGGGGAGAGCCTGAGGAGGCGGGGAACTGAGCAACCCTCAAACGCAGGCTGGGACCAACCTGGGACCAGACCTTTGTGGACTGTGCTAGCAGGCCACAGGATGAGTACCCGAGGACCCCAGGGCAGGAGGTCTCATGTGAGCACTGGGGTGAACTAGGCCCAGACAAACTTCAGCTCCTGCTGCATTCTGCACAGGCTGTCCCAGGACCACACTTAAGGGAGCTGAGCCCTCAGCCCTCACTCAGGCTCCCACTGATGAGTGACTCTTTGGTCTCCTATCCCCTGAGGGAAGCAGGGATGTTCTTCAAGCTGTGCCTCCCCTGAGAACAGGAATACCACACCGCCTCTGGGGGCTACCCACCTTCAGGGATTTCCCTAGGGCTATGAGTTGAAATTGACACTTGACTAGATGGCAATGGGTTTTTGGTTTTTTTGGATGCAGGGAGAGTGAGACAGGCCTAGAACAGGTTCACCATGCCACCACTAGCTCATGACCACTATAGTTTGAGGCATAAAACCCAATTCCAGTTCACTGGTATTAAAAAATATTTCCACTTTATACTCTCACAGGTAGAATGAATTGTGTACTGGCCACATATAGAGGCATTGCTTTTCTTGTCCTATACTTCAAGTTAAGGCCTAAAAAAACTCCAGCTGTGAAAGCAACATAAATAGATCCTAAATTGTCTGAATCTCATTTAAGTTCTCATGCCTGGAGAAGCTAATGTCAACTCTTCATGTGATACTCAATTTGTAAAATAAATTATGAACCTGGGGGAAAAAAAAAAAAAAGAATAAAGCCAAGTGTTTGGCAGCCTAGGTAGCTTTGCTGCAGCTCTTCTTGACTTAGCTTAACAGGCTCAGCCCAGAAAGAAGCAGGCAGCACCACTCCCTCCCTCCAAGGGCTTAACTCAAGATACCATCCACTTCTCCTAACCATTTTACAGATGGAGAAAGTCACCACATCTTTACTGAGGACCAGTCTGTGTCTAGGCTTTAAGTCCTGGGGGAGATGATAGGGGAGGAGAAGATGCCAAGCTATCAAAGCTCTACTCCATGTCACAGATAATCTACCCAAGGCCTCAAGGCCAATATCAGCAGGCATGAGACTGAGCAGGATGGATGGTAAATGACAAACTGAGTGCAATAATAGGGGCAGTGGCAGTCTGGGTGGGACTTCCCATATGAAGTGGCAGCAAGGAGACCTTGAAGGACAGGATTTGGAGAAGGGAGGGAAGGGGTTGTCCTGAAGCTGGGGTGCTGGGCACAGTGTGACAGGGAAAGGGCCTGGTCCAACCTGACGGAGACAGTGAGGTAGGTGAGCATCATGGGAGGTCAAGCTGGAAAGGAAGGTGCAGCCAAACAAAAGGCTAAGGCTCTGGCTCTGGCCTGGAGTAGGGCACCCCTGCAGGTTCTAGATCAAGGGTGAGTAGGACCCTTGTCCACAGATGTGTCCATGGCTCCCCAAAGCCTGGGTGGTAGGACAAACCCTTGGGCGTCCTCTTGCATAGCCACCCTCAGAATTGCCTTTGCTCCTTGGCTCCTTAATGCTGGTGCAGCCTCATCCAAAAGTCCATCTTCTCTTTAAGCTTTACACCTACACTCATGGTGACAACCAGCTGCAGGTACTTCTCATCCTTCTCACAGGATGGCCAGTAGGACAGGTTCCCACAATTGGGGTTTCTGCTCAGGAGAAAGGAGAGCAGATTATTCATGCTTCTCTTCACCCTACCTCCTTCCCTCCCTCTTCCCTCATTTACTTTCCCATTGAGAGATGGGGTCCAGGAAGGCTTCACAGAGATGATAGTTAGACAGATCTAAATATTTAGATATTTAGACAGATCTTTAAGAGCTAGAAAGCACACGGTGGGGAGGGCTTCCAGGCAGAAAGAACAGAATGTGCAAAGGCTTGGAAACCAAACCTGAAAGACCTGGGCTTTTGGAGGAAGCACAAAGAGTAGGGTTAAGTAAAATCCTGGGGTGCATGAAGCGGATGGAGAGGAGATGACATTGCAAAGATTCTGATGCCAGGCTGAGGGGCTATGACTTTATCCTGGGGGCAGAGGGGAGCTATGAAGAGTTTTAAGCTGGTGAGTGACTTGGCCAGGTGATATTTCAGAAGACCTCTTGAGTGCCATAGGAGAATGGATAGAAAGGAGAGAATGTGGATATGGAAGTCACAAGGCTAGCCAAAGTTCAGCTCAGATGTCACTTCTGCTAGGAAGCCTCCTCTGCCCATCTAGGCTGGGTTAGACCTCTCCTCTATGCTCTCAAAAGGTCGCTATGAGTTGGAATTGACTTGACGGCAACCGGTTTGGTTTTTTTCTATGCTGTCAAAGTGCCTTGCACTCCCCCATTACAGCTCTCATTATGCTAAATTGTAATTTTATGTTCTCATGTGGTGAGCCTCTGGAGGACCGGCTTCATGTCAGCACCATCCTTGAATCCCAGCTCCAGTACTGGGCTGGGCACAAAGACAGCACTGGTGAATGACTGTTGAATGCCTGAGTGAATGAAGAGTGTGGGTCAGGGGACAGAGAGGGACACATTCAGGATCTGGGGACTGATTGGGGAAAGGTGAGAGAGAGGGGGTATCCTGGTTGGGCTGACAATGCAGTACCTGTGGGACATGTCGGGGCAAATATCTGGGGCAGCTGGCCATTGACGGCGTCTAGCACTCAGCAGGAAGACTGCCCAGATGTGTCGGGCCAGACTCATCCAGTGTAGGCAACATTGGCTCAGTATCTCATCATCTGGAGGCTGCCTGCCATCTCCTCATCTGTGGAACGGCCTGAGGGCAGAATGGGGATGTGGCACTTGGGAAAGAGCAGCAGAGGGGGACATCCCACCCTGTTCCTTCTGCCACTGCCTCCGTGGAGAGAATCCCAGATGGGGTGCTGGCCAGCTCCCTGTGGTGAGCCAATGGAGGGGTGGCTCTGCGTACAAAGGTGGGAGGGAGGGGTTGTCAGGCAGAGTTTTAGCACCTTTGGAGAAGGAGCTCCCAAAGAGGAAGTGGATCTCATCTCCATGGTCTGCCCCATCAGTGTGGGGTTTGATAATTATGCCACCAGCACTGTGGTACTCAAACTCGTACAGGTAGACAGGGAGGCCAGCATCTGTGAGTAGAGAAACTGAGGAAGACTGCAGAACAGCCTCGGCCTGGGTTTCCCATCCATCCCACACACTCCACCCACCTGTATCAAGCAGAGGAAAGACTCTGGGCTTCAGAATCAAGGAAGCAGATTTGAATCCTGTTTGCACCACTCATTAGCTATGTGACCTTGGGCAAGTCACTCAACCTCTCTGAGGTACAATTCCTCATCTGAGGTACAATTAGGATGCTAAAGCCTAATTCACAGGATTGTGACAAAAATCACGGAAGCCTTCCTCTTCCCTCTTCTGAACCTCCCTTCCTTGGCCTTGCATTTAAGGCTCTTCAGCATCTGCCCTCTCCAGCCCCACCTTTGAGCTCTTACCCACATGTTCCCCAAACCCCAGTCCGCCTGGGCAGGGCCTCCAAGAGGCCCCTAAACCTGACGTCTCAGTCAGAAACCCTTCCCTGACCACCCTAGGCTCCCTCCTCTGGGCCAGCTGAGGCCCAGCCCCTTCTCTCTCATAGTTGACAGCATGCTGCCACTTCTGTGACATCTTGGGATCCTACACCAGCTCAAAAGTGCAGACAGGGTGGGTGACTCCTCCAAGGACACCCAGTTAGTAAGCAGCACAGTTGGAGAGTGGATGGGGCCAGTGTGACACTCGTGGGACTCCACATACCACGGTGGTAGTGGGTGGCCAGCAGCGTGGGATACACAAAGGTTGTGTCCCCAGCTACGTTCATTATATGGTTTCAGTGTCTTCCAGTTCCAGTTATCCATACCACTCATGTACTCCTCCACTACCAGTGGTGTCTGCCCCTTGGTAATGTTCTGGGTGGGGAAACCACACCCACCAAAAGGCCTGGGGTGCCAGCTTGGCCAGAGGTGGGCACACCAGTGACTTGGACCCAAGCTCAGCCCCCTAAGAGTTTTTGGCCTGGAGGGGATGAGGGGAGCTTCCTGGGAAGGTCTCTCTCTCTGCTGATTCTTACCCTGTGTCTGCAGTGACCCTGAGGGTACCTGGGGCTTTGCCCACCAGCAGCCATATGATCCCATGCCTACCCCCAGGAGCCCCAAGAGAGACCCTTACCCTGACTGAGAGCCTTTTGTGAAGACAGCAGCTACTAGTTAGAAAAGGAGCAGCCCTGTCCAAACACTGAGCACCCCTGAGAGCTGGGCCCCTCACCAACAGGGTGCTGGTACTCCAGAGCAGTCTGGTGATGGTGTCTTTTCTCCTTACGCACTGGCTTAGTGGGATCTTCATGATCTGCCCACAAGACAAGGACCTGGGTGTGGGCCAGGCCTGAACATCAGGAGGGAGTCTTGACAGCTACACTAGGCCCCAAGACTCTTGCCCATCTAAATGTTGAGCTCTCAGAAAGAGCACACAGTCCAGGAAGGCTCACGACCCCTGCCTGCCCTCCTGCTCCTAACCTGTCCATCACTACCATGTGGGCCACAGTGGAAGTTGGGGCTAGGGGATCCTTCCTGAGCTCCGGCATCTACCCTGACCCAGAAGCAGATCCCTGGAGGATGGGTGGCCCATCTAAACTATGATCTGAAGATCTGGGGCCCCAAACCTCCAAGAGGCCACCCTCTACCCTCTATTCCTGGGCAGCTCCTACCACACAGGGACTGCAGGAGACTCCCAAGGCTCCAGCACTTGGGCATCCTCAGTTGTGTCACTGGGATCTGACTTGGTGCCCAGCATTGCCCAAGAGGTACCCTCTGCTGCCCCCCACTGTGCTGGGTACCCCTATTCACTTACATAGGGCAAGAGTCAATTGAACTCCAGGCTGTTGATACCCAGAAGGTAGGGCACAGGTACAATCTGCCCCCAGGCTAGGAGCACCGCAGGGTTGTTTGGGAATACCATACCATCCACCACTGGGCTCAGGAACCTCACAGCCTACAAGCAAGTGGCATGTATTTTCCCAGGGTCCCTGCAGCTGGGGTGCCCAGCCCAGCAGGTTCCCTTCCAGAGGCTGCTCTAGCCATAGGCCCTCTGACTGGGAAAAAGCTGGGGCTGACCTCAGTGACCCCTAAGAGGGCAGGGATGAGAGGGGACCAGCAATAGGCGCAGCCAGGCTACCTGGACTTGGGATGCTCGTCACAAAGTATCCACATAGCTCACTCCCTTACCTCATGCAAATCTTTGCTAAATGTCACCCTCTCAGTGAGGCCTGCCCTGTTCAATCCATTTAAATTCCACCCCAACATGCCCAACCCCCTTACCCTGCTCCATTTGTTGCCATTCACTTATCTTCCGTTATTGTTGTTATTAGTTGCCATTGAGTTGATTCCAACAGAGGAGAACTGTGCTCCATACGGTTTTCAAGGCTGTGACCTTTCAGAAGCAGATCCCCAGGCCTTATTTCCAAGGTGCTTCTCATGGGGTTTGAACCACCAACCTTTCAGTTAGTAAACCTTTCAGCACTTAAGCATTTGTGTCACCCAGGGACTACTTATCATCTTCTAAGAAGGTAAATATTTTATTTATTTTTAAATTTTTATTTCTTTTTTTTTTTTTTAATAGCGTTTACTGTCTCTCCCCACCAGAACATCAGCTCCACTAGGGAAAGGATGTTGACCTGATCTGTTCATCAAGTATCCTGAGTGCCTGGCACACAACAGGTGTTCAATAAATACTTGAATTACAGAATGGGTCCTGCTCACCTCTCGAGGGTCCTGCTGGAAGTTCAGGTGTAAGAATCCCTGTGGGGAAGGGGAGAAGGCCAGAGTTAAAGGAAGTCCCCCACTGTGCTCCTGGGGAAGCGGTTGGGGCTGGCTGCAAGGAAGTTCTACCTACCATCTTCCTGGACACATGCATCTGCTCTGCCCCTTATTGGGCCCTCAGGCAGTTCACCAGGATCTGTGTGCTGTTGTGGCTGTAGCCTGCCAGGTGGGCAACCTTTTCTGGAGAGAAGAAAAGGTGCTCAGGTCTGCCCTCAGCCTGTCCCTCCTTGCTGAGCCCTCGGCGAGGGGAGGCACCCACCTTGGCCACCCTCAGTGGGCCAGGAGTGATGAAGACTCTAAATACCATGATGTTATTCTGGGAAATGGCCTGATAGAAGAGACCCTGAGCTAGGGGTGATACCATCTGCAAGGGTGGTGCACTGGTGAAATGCACAAGTGGGGGCTACTTGGGCCATTTTGGGTACCTCTCTGGCCATGACTAGAAGGCCTACGGGAGCCCAGAGAGAGCAGGCACCTGGGAGGGAGTCAGGAGTCCTGGATTAGAGTCCTAGACTCTGGGCCTCCATGTTCTGGCCTATGCAGTGGGCTTCAGGGGTCCCAGAGGGGATCTGAGGTTATGAGAGGGGATCTGCTGGTGTAGGGAACAGAGCTCCCTTTGCTGCTGGGCTGGAGTAGAGGGTAGGTGGGAGGCATCCCATGGCTCCCATGGCCCAGTTACCTGTGCTGATGGCTCTTAGCCTCTTTCTGCTACCCAAGCCGGGGGTATCCTTACATACCAGCCCCCCATCCTGTCCCTTGAGCACCCCAGACTTCATGTACCCCAAACTTGCTCCAGCCAGTCCCCATCTAGGTAGTGTGCCTTACCCCACACCATTCACCCAGCCCCAGGGGCCTTTCCTATCTCCTCTGCTCTCTTTCTCTTTCTCATCCCCACATCCCAGCTGCCCCAGTCCATTTGGCCTCCTGCACTACTCTGCAACCATCTTATACTCTCCATTCTTCCTGCCTCTATTTTAGAACGTGCCCTCATCATCCGCTCTAGGATATACCTCACTCTCTTCCTCGTGGTCTCCAAGCCTTTGATCCTGCCTCTTTGAAACGCAGTCATGATCAGCAGTCTGAGCCATCTTTCTAAAATGCACATCTGATCATGTCACTTCCCTGCTTAAAATCCTTCCTTGCTCTTCAGTGCACTTTGGATAAAGCTGCTTAACTTCTCTGGGCCTCAGTTTCTTCATTTGTTGAATGAGGACAATACTTACCTCATTGGATTGTTGAGGGAATTAAGTGAATAAATACCTGTAAAAATAGCTTAGAAGAGTGCCTGGCACACAGAAAGTGCTCAAGTGTTTGAGTATTATTATTACTGTGGCCCACAAGGCCCTGTGTGATGTGGTTCCTGCTCACTTCCTAGCCGTGTGTCCCTGATAGGGCTCCTTACATTTACCCACACTCCAGGCTCATTGAATGGTCAGCCATCTTCCAAGTGTAGGGGCAACCCAGGACCGTGACTTCTCAGGGCTGGACTGTGGCCCCAGCTCCGCTCTGGGAGCAGATGGTAAGCTCTGTTCAAGGGATGGGATTCTCGGAGTGAGGGTGGGGGGCCGGCTGAAGTTCCGGGCAATCTTTCTGGCTCACCACGCATTCGCTGAGTGTCCCCAGGCTCAGCAATGCCTTCCCTAGGGCTCAGGTTTCTTATATGCGCTGCCCATGAATCAAGTGGACACCCTTGGCTGTGAGGGGTAGTACCCTTGGCAGGGATGAGGGCAGGTCTATGAGGGGCACGTTCATGTCCATGCAAGTCTGCATATGCGTGTCTGTGCAGTGGAGGCTGCACGCGTGGAAACAGGCGGGCCTGTGTCTATGGATCCGCCCGGGCATCGCACTCACCAATCCTGAGATGCACATGCTTCCAGCGGACTGGCCGAACAGAGTCATGCAATCCCAGTCTCCGCCAAAGACCTCGATATTCTTCTCCTGCACCCAGAACAGAGCCGCCAGCTGGTCCAGCAGCGCCCAGTTCCCACGGGCCTGATTATCGCCCGTGCTGGGCGCGGTGGCTCAAAGTCAGTGTCCCGGGCCCAGACAGTTGGGATCCGGAGGGTTCCTCCTGGGCCTTGCCTTACCCAGCCTCTCAGAGACACAGTCCGGCAACCGCAGTTCCTTCCTTCAAGTTAGGCCCCGCCCCATTGGGTTCGTCCAGAGCCCGCCTTTTCCACCAGGCGTCAGGCCTCGCCTTCGTCTCACCCCGCACGCAGACACGCCCCAGAGGCCACGCCCCTCTCCACCCTGTCGGGGTCACCTCCCAGAGCCGCGGTCAGGGGAGGCCCCGCCCGGGCCCCCGGTCCTGCGCACCTCAAGAAGCCAAGGACGCCAAGCAGTGTATTGCGGCATCACAAACACCACTTGCTTATGGGCCACCAGCCACGAGCCGTTGTACATGGATGCGGAGCCCACAAAGCAGGCGCCTCCCGGGAACCAGACCAATCATCTGGATTGGGAGGGCCAAGGCCTGAGCAGGATGGCGCAGGATTGAAGAGGAAGTACTCATTGGCAGCGGAGCGTCCCCGCGCGCCCGAAGGGGCGCGTACACGTTCAGGTACAATCTTCACTCAAGCGCAGCCACTTTTATTGTTTCTGCGTGTTGAAGTACACAGAAGTGATCTGCCCCCAGGACTCCTAGAGGTACCTGACGGCACGACGTGAATCTGGGCCCTGCGGCGGCGGTGGGGAGCAGGGTTTCCTCCGTGCGCCGCCCTTTCTCCATCAGTGAGGACGCAGCGCCCCTCTCTGGGGCAACTAAAGTGTCGTACACTATTATGTCACACCGCGCTCTCAAGCGCCCCTCCTAGTCTAGGGCACTCTGTGGCCCAACAACACGACCTAGATCCTGATTCTGGGCCAACTTCCTCCCCATTCTATAGATGAGGAAACCAAGATACAGACTGGGGAATAGACCAATGGGAACAGAACCAAAAGCAGAAACTAGGCAGAATCAAGAACCCTGGTGGCATAGTGGTTAAGAACTCGACGGGTAACCAAAAGCGCACATGTCCGTGTTTGTCCCAGGGACCTTTGCTAGCTTTAGGGTCCAGGGATGGGAGGCAGGTTGGCCTTCTCCGAATTCATCCCTCTACCTTGTGCCTTTCCTCTTGGGTCTGCTTAGGGGGAGGTTCCCAGCCCCTGTTGGAGATCTTGCTGATGGTGCTGTCAAGACAGAAACCTGGTGTCCTGGGCACCTCCCTCTGTTTCATACCCCACCTTCTCCTCAGTCTCCATTCTGCCTCCCAAACAGCTCTTGAATATGCCCCCTCCTTTCCATCCCCAAGGCTGCTGCTCTGGCAAGGCCATCACCATCTCTGGCTGGACACTACCCCAGCCTTTTCACAAACCCTCTTCAACTCATCCTCCACACTCTGGCTAGAGGGATTGATATAAAACACAAATTTGACCATGTCACTCCCTTCTTTAAAATCTTCTCTGGCTCCCCACTGCCCTCCGGATAAAGTCCAGATTCCCTCAAACTAACCCTAACCCTTCCCATCTGGTCACCTCCTTCCCAGCCACCCTTTGCTTCAAATAGACATGTCCTGCCCCTTGCCTCCCATCTCCAAGCCCCTGTGCCTTCTGTCCTCTCTGCCAGATGGTCTCTGCTTTGCCCAGCAAACTTCTGCTCGTGTTTAAGGCCTAGCTCAAACGGTGCCCCCTCTGCTGGGCATTGCTCCCTCTCTGCCCCCCAAAGGTCTGTCCACAGTTGACTATAGTACTGGGTTGGAGTTAGATTGGTTGTTTTTCTCCCCCAAGCAACCAGGCATTCCCGAGGGCAAGGACAGAGATAGGTTCCTTTGAGTCCTGGCACCCATCCCAGTGACTTGCACTGTGTGGACATTTGGAGTATTTATGGAGCATGGGCTGTCTGGCCATCTCTCTTTTTCTCTCTGCTGGCCCAGCCCCTAGGATGGCTATTCTTGTAACAGTTGGGGCTGTGCCCATTTGGCTGGGTGCAGGGCTGTGCCCTGTCTGCTTGCTTCTCTGCTCCCTTCTCCTCTTGCCTCAGGCTGTCTTCAGTGTGTATGGACTCTACTTCTGCCTCCTCAACCCTAGAGCATCAGCTGCTGCCTTTTGCTGGTTCTTCCCAACAGCTCTTCAACAGGTCTTGGTCTAAACCTATCCTCCATATGGTGCAGTGAATTACTTAATATGGCCCTTCTAGCCATGCATGGTCTTGTGACTCCCATAAAATGATTGGGTGTGACTATGCAAATAAGGTGCTTGTGGCCCACCAAGGGGATTAAGCAGCCTGCTAATAATGCAAGTAAGGTACGTGGAAACCTTGTGGGGGTGGACCATGCAAATAAGGTATATGGTACCCTAATGAGGGGATTGGTCAGTTTTGCCATCCCACTAGGCTTAAAGGGAGCCAATCCCAGAAGCAGAGAGGGGACCTCACTACCATCAGAAGAAGAGCCAGGAATGGAGCACTTCCTTTGGACCCAGGGTGTCTTCACTGAGAACCTCCTAGACCCAGGAGACAGAGAGAGCTGTCTAACACAGGAGATAGAAGCAGCAGCAAGCACAACTGAGTACATTGGCAGACAAATGGCAGCAGCAGAACCAGGATACTGGCACAGGATGGCTTGGTGGGCTTCCCGGCCCATGGAGCAAAATGGCTACAGTGGGTATGCTGACCGACAGAGTGAGAGAGCTGAGCACCTTATGGCAAGAGGCTTGCTGGTGGAGTAGGGTGTCTCCAGTCACTTGTTGGTGGAGCTAAAAAGCTGTAACACTGGCCTGAGCAGGGCAGAGGCCAGATCAAGAGCCGAGGGGCCAAGGGGCTGAGAGTCAGGAGAGGCCTGCCTGAGGGCATGGCCAAGAAGAAGCTGTCCTGATCTACATCCTGAGTCATTCCTGGTCCTGAATTGTAACCTGTTAACTTCCCTAATAAAACCCATAACTATGAGTGTAGTCTGTGAGTTCTGTGTGGCCATTGCAATGAATTATTGAACCCAGCAAAAGTAGAGAGTGGGAGGGATGGCTGGTGTCAGAATTGGTAAAAAGATTGGAGGGTGGAGGTATCTTTGACCTTTACCTCACAGGAATCATCAGCTTTTTGCTGATGTTGATCTTGAGTCTCTCTCCTCCCCCTTGTGATGCCATTTTTGCATTCCATCCATCTTCTCCAGAAACTACCCTCTCTCTCCCTCTCCCCCTGTAGGCCAAACTTTTCAACAGGTTGTCTTCCCCCGCAACCCCCACCCACCTTCCTCCAGGACCACCAGCAGGCAACTCATCTCTAACTTTACAGCCTGTCTTTGAACTTCTTGTTCGACTTCTTGGCAGTGGCTAATGTGGCTGTCAAGGTGCTGTCTAATAAACCAAACCCAGCATCCCACCAGGAAGGCCAAGAATTGGGGTTGTGAGCAGACGAAATATGTGTTCCCATCCCAGCACTAAAGCCACTCCCGTCAAGGTCACCAGTGACTTCCATTTTGCCAAATCTCCGTTTTCCTACTTGACTTGGCAGCCATCTATCTAGTGGACCTCTCTCCTCTTCTTGAGCAGATTTCCTTCTCTAGGCTTCTGTAACACTCCACTCTCCTGATTTTCCTGCCTCCTCATTAGGGGCTCCTACTCCATTCCCAGGCCTAAGAGTGAGAGTGCCCAGTCTTCAGCCCTACATTCTGTTTTCATTCTGACTGTTCTCTCTCCCGAGTTGTTCTTCTCATCCAGGCCCAGGCCTTCACATCATTGAGATGCTGATGACCAGCTTGCCTCCAGTTCCCCTTTCCCCTAATGAACCTCAGGCTTGGTTATCCAGCCATCTACCCCACATCTCCACGTGGACGTCTATCAGGCATGTCAAATTTAACTTGCCCCAAAACAAACTCTTGCTTTGCCCAAACCTGCTCTTGCCCCAGTCTTGTAAGTTTTGGTAAATGGTGGCCCTATTCCCCTGGCTACTCTGGCCAAAAACTAGGCATTATCCCCGATTCTTCTTCTTTCCTTGTAGCCCACATCCAATTCTCCAGCAAATTCAGTTAACTCTACCTTCAGAATGAATCTGGAGTCTGACCACTTCCACTATAACCACCTGGTCTAAACCACTATCTCTGCAACAGCCTTCCGTCTTCTTGTTCCCCGTTGACTTCATCCTCATAGTCTGTTCTAAGTAATCCATTAATTTTTATTACCCAATACTCCATGTTCCAAACATCCATTGTCTTGATAGTTCACAGCCAGTGTTCCAACAACTGACATTTAGGCTTCTATGCAATGGGCACACAAACCTCTGATCCTCAGGATTCTAATAATGGTGATCCCATATTCTATCCTCTGAACCATGAGGTTCCAAACAACAGTCCCAGAAAGTTTAGAATGCCTAGGGTTCTCTCAAGGAGACCTGGTGGTGCAATCGTTAAGTGCTTTGCTGCTAAGTGGAAGGTGGGTGGTTTGAACCCACCATCCGCTCCAAGAGAGAAAGATGTGTCTGCTTTCATAAAGATTACAGCTTTGGAAACCCTATGGGGCAGTTCTTCTCTGTCCTGTAGGGTCACTGTGAGTTGGAATTGACTCGATGGCAGTGGGTTTGGTTTTTTGGTTCGCCCTGAATCCATGATTAAATAGCCAACAGCTATGACTTACTGAGCCTTTATTGGAGCCTGGCGCTGTGCCAAATCCTTTATTTTCTCCTTCCTGTTAACAAACTGATAGAGAAAGTGTTGTTATTATTTTGCGCTTTACAGATGTGGAAACTGAAGCTCAAACAGGTTATGTAACTTGCCCAACGCCACACAGAATGTCTCATGTGAGAGCTCTGCTCTAAACCGTGATGTTTTACTGTCCTCACCTCAGCCTCTGAGGGCACCTAAATGGATGGCAGAATGCTCTAGACCCCTGGAAAGAGCTGCAATAGACTTGTCCCAATCCCAGCTCTGCCACCCAGAGGCAACATGTAAGTAAGCAATGGTGAAAACAACATTCCACCCTATTAGTAGTCATAAGGAGCTCTGGTGGCACAACGGTTAAGCTGCTAACTGAAAGGTTGGAAGTTCAAACTCATCCAGTGGCTCCACGGGAGAAAGACATGCGATCTGCTTCCATAAAGATTACAGCCAACAAAACCCTATGGGACAATTCTACTCTGTCACATGGGGGTGCTATGAGTTGGAATAGACTGGACAGTATACAACAACAACAACGTTAGCGGTCATATAACACTAATTACAACCAAGAGTTAACAACTTCAACCTGATAAATTAAAAAAATGATGACACTCAATTCTGCTGAAGACACAGTGAAAGGGACATTTATTTGCCTGGTGGTGCAGTGGTTAAGAGCTTGGCTGCTAACCAAAAGGTCAGCAGTTTGAATCCACCAGCTGCTCCTTGGAAGCCCTTTGGGGCAGTTCTGCTCTGTCCTATAGGGTCACTGAATCGGAGTTACTCAACGGCAATGGGTTTTTTTTTTTTTTTTTGGTTGGTGGGGGATAAACTGGCATAATGCCTTGGGAAAGTAATTTGGCAAAATGTATGAGGAAGTATAAAATGTTCACATGCTTTGACTCAGCAATTCCACTTCTGGGTCTCCCTCCTAAGAAAACAGAAATGGAGTAAAACAAAGACCTTTAAGAACCGCAGCCATATTTGCCATAGTGAATACTGGAAACATCGTTTATATTTGGGGACCAGGCAAAGTAAATATAGCTATAAACTCAAGCTATAAACTGCTTATGATAAGATTTTAAGTGAAAAAATAAGTCTAAAATTGCATGCACACTAAATATCACAGTTGTGTACAATTACATATATACATTAAAAAGACCAAACATACCAAAACGCTAGCAGTTTTTCCTCAAATTAAAAAAAGTATTTATATAGGTAAAACTAGTTTATGGTGATAGAGGTCAGAATAGTGGATACTGTGGGGATGTTGACTGGGAAGGACCATAAGGGAACCTTCTGGGGTGCTGGGAACGTTCCAGGTCTTGATCTGGGTGGTGGTTGCATAGTGTATACATATATAAAAGCATATCAAACTGTACCTTAAGATGTGTGCATCTTGCTGTACATATACCTCAGTAAAAGATTTTGATGTGCTAATATTTTCATAATAAAAAGTATAATGCTAATTTTAAAAAGTCATTGGGGAAAAATTTGCAGGTAAAAAAGAGGCTCATGTAGGGGAGACTCCTGCTTGGGAGGAAGGAAGGAAGAAAAAAAGAAAAAGGGAAAGAGACAGGGACGCGAGGACACATGCTCCCAGGTCCTGTCAGCAGTCCGGGGAGGCAGGTGGCCCACTCCTCACTTTGCAGAGCAGCTCTGAGATTCAAGAGGCCACAGGACTTGTCCAGACTCCCAGCTGGTATGTGGATTAGCACCCTGAAGCCCCTTCTCTATCTGCCCAGCTTGTCCAAGTGCCTCCACTTATTAGTAAGTAAGCTTACTTGTGCTTACTTATTAATCTGTAGTGAACAATTTCACATGGATTTCACTTGATGTGGTGTGGTGAAACCCAAGTGAAATTGTTCACTACAGATTATTAAGTAAGCACAAGTAAGCCCATGCTTATCTTGCTTACTGAGTCATCCGCCCCGTCAGGAATTATAAATGTGAAAAGAGGCTTCGATTCTGCAGGAAGGTGCTATGGGGTTAACAGACAGATGACAGCCATACCTAGAAACAGTCTTTTTTTGTTTATTTTTTGATTGTCCTTTAAGTGAAAGTTTACAGCTCAAGTTAATTTCTCATACAAAAATTTATACTGTTATGTGACACTAGTCGCAATACCTGTAATATGACAGCAAGCACACTCCCCCTTTTGACCCTGGGTTTTCCATGTCCATCCAGCCAGCTCCTGTACCTTTCTGCCTTCTCATCCTAACCCTGGACAGGAGCTGCCCATTTAATCTCACGTATCTACTTTAACTAAGAAGCACGTTCTTCACGAGTGTTATTTTATGTTTTATAGTCCAGTCTAATCTTTGTCTGAAGAGTTGGCTTTGGGAATGGTTTTAGTTCTGGGTTAACAGAACGTGCAGGGGCCATGTCTTCGAGGGTTCCTCCAGTCTCAGTCAGACCACTGAGTCTGGTCTTTTTACTAGAATTTGAGTTCTGTACCACACTTTCCTCCTGCTCCATCAGGGACTCGATGTTGTGTTCCCTGTTAGGGCGGTCATTGGTGGTAGCCAGGCACCATCTAGTTCTGGTCTCAGGCTGGTGGAGTCTCTGATTTGTGTTGCCCTTTTTTGTCTCTTGGGCTAATATTTTCCTTGTGTCTTTGGTGTTCTTCATTCTCCTTTGCTCCAGGTAGGTTGGGACCAGTTGATGCATTTTACATGGCCACTTGCAAGCTTTTAAGACCCCAGACCCCACTCACCAAAGTAGAATGCAGAACATTTTCATAATAAACTTTGTTATGCCAGTTGACCTAGCTGTCCCCCAAAACCATGATCCTCAGGCCCCTGCCCCTGCTACTCTGTCCTTTGAAGTGTTTGGTTGTATTCAGGAAACTTCTTAGCGTTTGATTTGGTTTAGTGATGCTGACTGGCCCTGTATTGTGTGTTGTCCTTCCCTTCACTTAAGATAATTCTTTTTTTTTTTCCCATACAAAAATTTATACATACATTGTTATGTGACCCTAATTGCTCTCCCGTACTGTGACAGCACACTCCTCCTTTCTACCCCTGATTCCCCATGTCCATTCAGCCATCTCCTAACCCTCTCTGCCTTCCCATCTCACCTCCGGACAGAAGCTGTCTCTTTAGTGTTTTGTATCTGCTTGAGCTAAGAGGCACTCTCCTCACGAGTATCACTTTATGACCCACAGTCCAGTCCAATCCCTGTCTGAGGAGTTGGCCTCAGAAATTGTTTTAGTTCTGGGCT